GGTTTTGCTTCCATAGCCTTTGTCCAACCAAGAACAAGCTACAAGGCAGCAGTTGTTTTAATTTTAGAGTTGTCTCTCCTAGAAGAGTGGCTGTTCCCAGCTAACGAGCCTCATCTGCCCGAGGGTTCGAACTCGAAACTTTTCGGTTTAGCAACCATTAGCTTTACCGACTCGACCCCGCCGCCCCCTATCTAAATACATAAAATTCTATTAATAACTATTGGTTACATACTCCTTCAATCAATATAGATATTAAAGCTGGCTACAATTTTATTTTTTATTTTAATAATTTAAAAAGCTGGTGATGATACGTGTTTATTAACTGTATCAAGAGGATCGGCGTTGTCAAGTCGGTTAAGCACATGGTTTCTGAAACGAAAACCCCAAGTTCGAAACCCTGACATATGAGGCTAGATATTTGGGGACAGCCACCAAATTTAGAGAGCGAAAACTCAAAAATAAAAATAAAAACTGCGGCTCTTGGTTCGACAAAGGCTATGGAAGCAAATGCAAAAAGAAAAGCAGGCTGAAATAAAAAGAAAAGCAGGTCGAAATATGTGTAAACAGTCTATATAGCGAATAATAAGTTAATAAGTAATACTTAATTGTGTTGGAGAAAATCTCTATAAAAATGTATTATTTTAAAATACAAAATTTTATGTTGTTAAATGTAACGATACCTTTAGTGTGCGACCATTAATCTGGAATAGTAACGTTACTCTTTTAGTATTATTTTTTTTACCAAGCTACAAAACTCAGCTTTTCCAGGTAAAAACAAACTGCGCTACAAATAGACTCACACGGTCTGGGCATTAGTTACAAATAGACCCGAGAGTCTGAGCTATATAAGAAGACCCCAGGGGTTCGCAGGAAGATATTAGGGGGTCATAAAACTGGGTTCACGTTGTTTCAGGGGACCAGGTCTGGCCGTTATAATGTTGGTCGTTTCTTTCATCTCAGTTTTCTTGTTGTTGTTTTTTTTTTTTTTTTGCCGGAGTATTTTGATACAGGGCAATATGGGTGAACCTAATTCCCAAAATAACTTGCCTGGTTAGTTAGAAACTAGTTTACTGCCGCTCCCTGTAGCATAATTTTACATTTACTATACAAAGGCCGATATATATATATATATATTATATATATATATATATATATATATATATATATATATATATATATATATATATATATATATATATATATATATATATATATATATTAGAGATTGAAGTTAGAATGATCTAGTCGACCAACAATAAGACCTCCCGGCGCCCTACCCACCCGTACCCTGCAGATCCACGCATCACTAATGAAGTACTGAAGACATATTCCACCTGTCGAAGCTTATCGTAACGTTACCCCCAAATATCCTAATCTTGGATACTGCTAGACCTAGTGTTCATCTACCTGTTATTATTTCAGCATCGCTTTTATTTACCTGATCAACGACAAAGGGATCATCCGAAATTCGTATTGAACAGCCGATAACATCGTCAAGCAATCTAACGGCTGTCTTGTGAATCAAACACTCCCTTCTCAAACCAACTTCAAAGGTCGGCGTGGTAGGGTCGGTTAAGCTCATGGATTCGAGTTCGGAAAAGTTCCGAGTTCGAACCCTGGACAGATGAGTCTCGATAGTTGAGGACAGCAAACCATCTAGGAGAGACAACTCCAAAATCAAACAACTGCTGCCTTGTAGTATGTTCTTGGTTGGACAAAGGTTATAAACGCAAATCCAAAAAAAAAAAAAAAAAAAAAAAAAACAGGCTGAAATCGGTGTCAACAGCCTATATGGTATATAACGAGTTGACACTTAATACTTATTCATGTTGGAGGTCATCTCAAAAACTTTAAAAGAACGAAGAAGGAAAAAAAGAAGATTCAGATCGCGTGACAATTACTAACCATAGACATCTAAGTAGACATGTCAACCTCTAAGTAGACATGTCTAGCTCGCTCACCGAGGGAAAGGTTTCAATTTTTTAAACAACGAAGTTAAGCGAAATCCAATTCAGCGAACCTATTAGAAGTCAATCACTGAGCATCGTATTTCATTTTATACTTCTTCTTCTTCATTCTTAATTTTTAGTGTTGGGAGGGATCGAGCCTTATCTGCCAGAGGGTTTGAACTCGAGACTTTTTTTCGAATTTTATCAACCATGTGCTTTGCCGACTCGACCATGCTTCCGTCACAATTAAGGATTACGTGTCAACTGGTTATTCGCCATTGAGGCCATTAACTCCAATTTCAGACTGTTTTTCTTTTTGGATTTGCTTCCATAGCCTTTGTCCAACCAAGAACAAACTACAAGGCAGCAGTTGTTTGATTTTGGAGTTGTCTCTCCTAGAAGAGTGGCTGTCCCCACCTAACGAGTAGACGGGAATAAAATTTATTTTTTCGTTATATAGATTTTTTCTTATAGTTAGTAAATCATAAATTCACTTTGTTCACGACTGTCATTTTTTTTCACTTTAGCACCTGGCCATACCGTTGTGTTTATGAGCTAGGTGTTAATTTTTTATAAGACTTATACACCCAGGCTATAAATATGGGTAAATTCGTTAAGAGAAGACAGCGCTAACTCCTGATTTTTTTAAAAATTTCAATTGCTTAATGTGAATTATGTTGCGGTGAAGATGTTAATGTTGATTATACTAAATCGCTGAAGATTTAAACCTGGGTGGAACACATTCTATGTAACACATCACCTTCTTCTGCTACTACTCCTTTGGCTGCTTAATTCGATATTATTTTGAAGTTTGCATCTCTTTTTATGCAATCTTGCGGTTATAAATTAACATAATTTACCCTAGCCATGTTTAGAGATGTAAATTACAAACCGGAAGTTACCAAAGCGTCGTATTTTCCACCGAACTACATTATCCATAAACCACTTACCATAAATAATCAACATAAATAATTTCTGCTCGAAATTACACAACTTTTTCCTTTTTTTTCCCGTCAAAAAAAGTCCATGTTGTTGAATCTTTGGCACAAAAGCAAATAAGAATTCGGCCAAATTTTTACCAAGAGAAAGTACTAAAAAATTATTATCGACATGATAGCAACCTATAAAACCGAATACTTTTGCAGTTTTCTTGTTTGCTTGAAGTTGTTTGAGATTTTGAGTCAGTTTTCAACCATATGATTATATCACAGATTAAAGAGTGTTTGATTGAAACGTTATAGTAAGCTTATATCGGCATATTCGGGACAGAGTTATAACCAAAGTATTTTAATTACATGTAAATTAGATGCCATTCTACTTATCTCACACCTAGGCCAAAAAGAGATTCCTGGCACTGGTTCTATGTTCATGAACAATTATTCCATCTTAGTGCTTGACCCGCTGAATCCCGCTTTGTCGGGCTAATACAAAAATAGTCCTGTCTTTTTGTATCTTAACAAGCTGATTGGAGTGTGTGTGTGTGGGGGGGGGGATTCCTTCTACTCAGGTGGTCTTGTTAAGTTAGTTCTAATAGGTCGTCCCTAGCTTGCTGACCCAATGGCAAAAACATAACCTTAACTTTGTATTGGCATGCGATGGTATTATCGGTGATTCTGTACAAAATTGAGGTATGGTGTGGACAGTTTATGTAGACAGTTTATGTAGACAGTTTATGTAGACTAGACAGTTTATGTAGACAGTTTATGTAGACAGTTTATGTAGACAGTTTATGTAGACTAGACAGTTTATGTAGACAGTTTATGTAGACAGTTTATGTAGACAGTTTATGTAGACAGTTTATGTAGACAGTTTATGTAGACAGTTTATGTAGACAGTTTATGTAGACAGTTTATGTAGACAGTTTATGTAGACAGTTTATGTAGACAGTAGAGTAGACAGTTTATGTAGACAGTTTATGTAGACAGTTTATGTAGACAGTTTATGTAGACAGTTTATGTGGATAGTATAATAATGTAAACTGCATATGTAGGCATTATTTTTTTGGAGCAGTACACTCGTATAATATACATTCGAATAGCATATGCGGAGAGTATTTGCGACATTAGTTCAGAGAGTATGTATAATTCTTTAAGTGCAATCAGGATTGAGTTAATGAAACACCCCGAGACGATGGATTTAATTGGACTAGCATTACCATTATTAAAATCTAAAGGAATTATTCAATTAATTGTATAAATATTTAATAAGACGTATCTAGTTGTAAAACCCATTTTAAAGTTTGTTTTGAGAACATAATATATATATATAAATATATATATATATATATATATATATATATATATATATATATATATATATATATATATATAATGTTCTCAAAACAAACTTTAATTTCGTAATTTGTTTTTAGATAAACAGAGAGTGGTACGTAGCACCACTAAACTACGTAAGTTTTAAAACTAAATTTAAATTTCTGAAAAGTATTACAATGAGCTACACTTTTCTGTTGTCTTTTTTTTTAAATTTGAATCCTTATTATTTCAACAGCATTCTAACGATGTTTTGAATGTGTATGTCCCTAAGTTGGTGCGCATCGAGGCAATAATTAAGGCAATAGCTCAGAGCTATGTCGGATGTAGGCCTACAGGGGATTTTTCTATCGCGGATAACTTTTGAAAGGGAGAATTGTTAAAACCTTTGTGAACTAGATACTTGGGGTATCGAAATCCCAAAAAATACTTCTAATATGAAAACCTCACAAAACACGGCCATTACCAGTTCAAGCATTAGCTTATTAGACAGGTAAAGAATAAAAAAAATTCTCAGACTCATGTGGGATTTAGAATGGCCTCGAACTCTCTACTATAAACCTATTTTACTTAATTTACATCAACGACGAAGATGGGTGTATTTAACGGAAAAATCGCTTTTTATAGAGTAAAACAAATCACTAAAACCATAACAATACAAAAATATACGAGTCTGAATCATTTCAATTTCGAATTATTTTTTTTCATATTTTTACAATACTATACAGCTTTAGTGTAAAAATTAATTACATGTTTTTTTCTTTTTTTTTTCCTGAAACAGGTACCGGAGTTGAGCAAGCACCGGATGCGTGATGTCTACTTTCGCTATCTGTTCCCGCATGCTGGCCAAGTGCTCACCAACAAGGTCGCTGACCTACAAGACAAAACGGGTCCCTAGACCCATTTAACTGCCGTTTTACAAGTGCTTACAAAAAAGGTCGCTGACCTACAAGACAAAACGGGTCCCTAGACCCATTTAACTGCCGTTTTACAAGTGCTTACAAAGAAGGTCACTGACCTACACGACAAAACGGGTCCTAAGACCCATCTAACGGCTGTGTTTAAATTGGTCTTTCTAACGGCTGTGTTACAAGTGCTTACAAAGAAGGTCACTGACCTACACGACAAAACGGGTCCCCAGACCCACTTGGTGCTGTAGACGCCTAGACCCACTTACTGCAGTAGACCCCTAGACCCACTTACTGCAGTAGAACCCTAGACCCACTTACTGCAGTAGACCCCTAGACCCACCAAGCGCTGTGTTCTCGACATTTCTATTTCACGTACCACAACTGTGCTACTTGTGACAGACCAGACCTCTGATACATTACTTTTATCCTGTTCAATGTAAGATAAACAAAAAAAAAAGTTTTTTTTTCGCACGCTTGCGTTGAATTTGTCTGTTTTAGAACATTTGTAAATTTAATATTTCAACTTTTTTTAAGGACTAGTACGGATACACGAGTGAAGGTTAATTCAGTGCAAATTTCCTATAAGGCAATTTTTTCCCCGATTATTTGATAATAATTATGTTATTCCTTGAATGGAAAACACCTAATTAAATAGGTGATTTTTTTTAATTCACTTTTCTGGATTTTGTATGAATTTGGTCTTAATTTTGGTTATTAAATTTATGTTAAACTTATATTTCATAATGTCTATTGGACAGGATATAAATAAGTGTGTGTGAAGTAGACAATAAGGATTTCATTATTTCGTGGAGTTTATTTTCTACCACAATGCGCACTGGGATTTCGTAACTAGGATATTTTTTCTACCATCACCGGAAGGCGTTCACCGTCACCATGGAGATGAACTTGGAAACAAACTTCGCTGCGGTGTTGATGCAGTCGGAGCAGACGTCCACCCCGGTGACCACCAACCTGTCGCAACTTCCGGGTCACGTGGGGGGCTATGGCGGGAGATGTGACTCGAACGGGACGGACGAGTACGAAAATTTTTACCGGACGGCGCAGTTCGTGACGGGTCTGATCATCTACCCGATCCTGTGCATCACGGGCGTGCTAGGAAACTCGCTCTCCCTGATCGTGCTCAGTCATAAGGACATGGCCACCTCGACCAACATTTACCTGCTAGGTAAGGGTCATTTTAGCGTCACCATAGTAATTTAAAGTAGCTAAAACATCACATTACACACGTAGCGTCACTAAGGTGCTTTGAGTAGCTAAAACATCACATCACATACGTAGCGTCACCATGGTGTTTTAAGTAGCTATCACATCACATACTTCGCGTCAAGGTGCTTTAAGTAGCTAGAACATCACATCACATACGTAGCGTCACCATGGTGTTTTAAGTAGCTATCACATCACATACTTCGCGTCAAGGTGCTTTAAGTAGCTAAAACACCACATCACACACGTAGCGTCACTAAGGTGCTTTAAGTAGCCAAAATATCACATCACACACGTAGCGTCACTAAGGTGCTTTAAGTAGCCAAAATATCACATCACACACGTAGCGTCACTAAGGTGCTTTAAGTAGCTAAAACACCACATCACACATGTAGAGTCACAAGGCAGGGGCGGTAGGGGTGCTGAGAAATGCACCGTGGGTACAATCCAAGGGGGTGACAGCAAAATTTAAAAAAAGCTTACTTTTAATGAGAGTCTGATTTTACCAATACGTATATATATATATATATATATATATATATATATATATATATATATATATATATATATATATATATATATATATATATATTTATTTATTTATTTATATATATATATATATATATATATTTATTTATTTATTTATATATATATATATATATATATATATTTATTTATTTATTTATATATATATATATATATACGTATTATATATATATATTGTAGATATATATATATAGGCCTATATGATCGGCTGTGTATTAGTTTGGACCAATGACACAGTATATAGATAATTGTATGTTATAAAGTCTAAGAATGTATACCGAATAATGCTCGGTAAAAAAAAAAAACAATAAATAGAATAGCAGCGTTCTGACAGCTGAATGCGGAATACATAATTTATTACAAAAAAAGAATAGATTCACATATAATGAAATCAAAAGCGTGTACATTTGTTTTATACTTCAAAGCGCGTTGTATTCGCGGTATTTCAATCAACAGGAATAATTTAGCAATTTATTATTATTTCTTTTGATTTTAGATTCAACAACTTTTGTAAAACGTCTTTACGCTTGACCTTTCCTCTTCTGCTCTAAAATAAATCACCAGTACACTTTAGTTCATTCCCTCCTTGTTTCTAATACCACTGGGTGCGAACGAAATCCCTGCGGAAATTCCCGGTCTCAGACAGTAGTGCCCGAAACCGAAATCGGAGTTTCCCGAACACGTAGCAGTCAAACATGGAGGATATTAGATTTCATCGTTGAATCAGTAGGTTTGGGCAACTAGTGTTTAGTTCTCGGCTATAGAAGAATTCCATAATACCACGAGACGTAGAACCCCTAGTTGAATAACGACTGTCAGTCAATAAAGATTCCAGTCGAGTCAATCTAAGGCTTGTTCTGTGACCATTGAGGTCTAGTCAGTAAATCTTTTGAGTGGCGTAAGAAAGATTTTCTTATGATAAATATATATATATATATATATATATATATATATATATATATATATATATATATATATATATATATATATATATATATATATATACATATATAACACTATATTATATATATATAACACTATATTATATATATATATATAACACTATATTATATATATACATATAACACTATATTATATATATATATATATATATATATATATGTGTGTGTATATGTGTGTGTGTGTGTTCGACCCCCGGATAGATGAGGGAAAGGAGCCCCTTAGACTATAGATTACCAACTCTGATTTCCTTACGGAAGCTTCGGCTACATTAATGATTCCTAGTTGCCCATGTAACGTCATGTCTCTTTGGGTCCATCAGCTGTGTGGGGAGAGGGGGTCTGAAACACCTATCTCAAGAACATAGAATACATAAATGGGGAACTTGAAAGTATTAAATAAGTCCCGTTCAAACATTCGCCATCTAAGTATCTCAGCGAAGCTTTTGGGATTATACGATTATATGAGCATTAAATTCAAGCTAGGTAAAATAAAATTTCTTCAGCTAAACTTAACCTTTAAGTCAATCAGTCAATCTTTCAATCAATCAATCAATCATTCCTTTATCCCGGGGTGGGATACGTTGGGTCACCAAAGTTGTTTTTTTTTCAAAATTCTTTGCTTTATTTCTTTGTCTTCTGTTGCTTCAAGTAATTCTGCAATGGACAGCCCAAACCGTTCTTTGATTCCTTCCATCCACTTTCCTCTCTACCCCCCTCGCCTTCTCCCTCCTGCCTCCCTGCCCTGAATGACTGACTTAAACATTATCCATGCGGAAAAAAAGCAATCCAATACACCCAACCTAACTCATTTATCTTTAACTTAGACGTTATTGTATTGATTTTATTTTAAAGAATCAAATGTACCAAAATCATGACTCAAATTACGTTATGAATCGGACATTCATGATTCATAAAATTCTTGTCTAGGTGCAGTTTTTTTAGAATGAAACTTATCCAGATTTCTCGTCTGAGAGGTTTTTCATTATTTAACCCGTTGAACTTGTATGGATTCTTTTGCTTTTTTTTCAAAACTCAACAATAATACTAGGCAAAATATTTTAGAATTCAAAGTTTAAAATTTTAGAAACAGCAACCTATTCCACGTTTAGCTTTGAACATACTAGTTGGAAAATAGCCCAAAAATACACACAAAAAACAGGGAAAAAAATATTCTAAACGCAAACTTGAGTCAAAGGAACCTCTTGGGCGTTTCAATTAGCCTTTAACGGGGAGCCCCAAAAACAGGACGGGCATTCTTGGGAGCGAGACAAGTACAAAAACAAACACGCCGACAACGTAAAAGCATTTAGAATGCACTTTCTCAATCAGGCGTTAATTTGCTGCACACAAAGAAACCGGTTTACGGTTGTCACGTGACCAGGGGACGGCCTAAGGCAAGGCCGGAATCAAGTTTCAGACATCTGTGGACTAGAATCGTCCTGTGAAGAAAAAAAAAATATTTTAATAAAAAATATTATGTGTGAAATTTTCTTCAAGATTAAAATAAAAATGTGAATTTCAGTTCGTTATTTTAAAAAGTAACACAGCGCCCGTTAATGAAAACTGTATAATGATAATTTAAAAACAGAAACTTTATTTTATAATGTTACTAGGCATACTGCCTAGCTTCGCTTAGGTTTTTAAAAGGCATTTGAGAATTTGAATACTTAATTATTTAGCGATGGATTGGGTGTGGAGTGCTTTAATAAGTTTAATAAGTTTAATTTAAACAGTAATGCTAACTTTAGAAAAAATGTTTTTGTTAGTCATTTACACGCAGATTCAAAATTTTTGGAAAGTACGCAATGTATAGCTAAAATGGAATTAGAACTACACAGGTTTCATGAACAGTATATCTCATAGTTTATATTACATTGCCTTTGAAATTAATTAATTAATTTAATTAACATACTTAAATAAATTAACAACTTAATTTTGTACTAAAACAAATGCTATACTTCGTCATTTTCTGTTTCTGTTTAAAATAGTATACAATTATTTGAAAAATAATAATTTTAAAAACGTTACCTCCCTTGAAAACTGAATGTATGACGTATGTCATTGTTTACTTATATTGTTTGCTTATATAAGAAATTACGTTATATGAACTTATTTAACGACTATAATGGCTGTTTCCGACGGGAATAAAGTTTTTTTGTTACCCTCCATGGTCGGTCTACGACGTCACATAATATTAATGGGATCGTTCGTCAATTTATTTATATATATATATATATATCTCATATAAGGAGAATTTCACTCAAGATCATCTTTTAGCCCTCGTCGAGGGCTTTGAGTCTGACCAACAGTTTTTCCATACGGCCTAGTCATCTATAGTAGTGTATGCAAAAACTTAGCATGATGTACAGACATTAAGTAACCTAAAAATTGTGTTAAAATTTCCCTGTTTTTCCCATAAAATACAAAGATTATATAGGGAAATACAACTGGTCAGTTTTGACCGCTTTACGAAGTTTTCCCAGAATTGCCGAGTTTTTTATGAAACCCCTAGGTGTTCTTCTACCACCTCACAAAATATCAAGGGGGGTCGTCGGAGGAAATTTTTTTTCGTAATAGAGCTCATATAAAGAGAATTTTACTCGCGGTCACTTTTTAGCCCTCGTCGAGGGCTTTGAGTGTAACCGACAGTTTTCCCTAAAGGTCAAGCCATTGACCTAGGAGCATGCAAAAAATTAGCCAGATATACTGAGCTTAAGTACCCTAAAGTCTGCGTTGAAATGACCCTGTTTTTCCCATAAAATACAAAGATTATATAGGGAAATACAACTGGTCAGTTTTGACCGCTTTACGAAGTTTTCCCAGATATGCCGAGTTTTTTGTGACACTCCTAGGTGTTCTTCTACCACCTCACAAAATATCAAGGGGGGTCGTCGGAGGAAAAATTTTTTCGTAATAAAGCTCATATAAAGAGAATTTCACTCGCGGTCACTTTTTAGCCCTCTTCGAGGGCTTTGAGTGTAACCGACAGTTTTCCCTAAAGGTCAAGCCATTGACCTAGGAGCATGCAAAAAATTAGCCAGATATACTGAGCTTAAGTACCCTAAAGTCTGCGTTGAAATGACCCTCTGTTTTTCCCATAAAATACAAAGATTATATAGGGAAATACAACTGGTCAGTTTTGACCGCTTTACGAAGTTTTCCCAGATATGCCGACTTTTTTTTGACACTCCTAGGTGTTCTTCTACCACCTCACAAAATATCAAGGGGGGTCGTCGGAGGAAAAAATTTTTCGTAATAGAGCTCATATAAAGAGAATTTCACTCGCGGTCACTTTTTAGCCCTCTTCGAGGGCTTTGAGTGTAACCGACAGTTTTCCCTAAAGGTCAAGCCATTGACCTAGGAGCATGCAAAAAATTAGCCAGATATACTGAGCTTAAGTACCCTAAAGTCTGCGTTGAAATGACCCTCTGTTTTTCCCATAAAATACAAAGAT